TGCTTTCTTCTGAGGCAATTAGGGGCTTTGCAGCAGTTTTTGATAAAGTCTGTATGTTCACCTTGGCCTTCAGATGGTAACTAAAAACAGAACAGGGCTTAAAGGTCTTGGCTGTAAGTATACTAACTAGGAAAAATGGGCAAAACAAAGTTTATGAATCCCAAATTTAGCTAGCCTATCACATCTGCCTCCAAGACTGAGAGCATCAAGATAAGAATAATTGTTAAAATTTACAGGAGTATCTGATTGCCAACCCTGGAATTATGAAACTAGGGCTGAGATAATGACAATTATTGTTTAGATCTAGAATATCCCTTACAGGCCTGCTGTGTTCACAGGTGGCACTTTTATAAGGTAGTAGGATCACGAGGGCACCATAGTGCAGTTAACCTCAGTGGGTTAACTCAGGAATGTGCTCAGAGCTCAGGGTGCTGTTGGAGGTAAGACCTGTTTGGAAGAGGCAGGGCAGTGGGGCGTGACCTGGAAGGGCATGGCTCCCTCTTCACTTTTTTCTCTCTGCCTCCTGACCTCCATGACATGAGCAGCTTCCCTCCGCCAGACCCTTTCTGTCTTGGAGCCAACCAACTGCGGCCAAAAGACAGTAGCGGAATAAACCCCTCGGCTTCAGTAATTTTAAGTGTCCAGCATCGTGTGTCAGTGACGAGAAAGTGACTAAGACAATCATTAACTGCAACCCAGAGCACTGTGAACCCCATAAAACTGGTTTCCCTGCTGGACATGCTGGTATCGGCATGTAATTCCAGCTCTCTGGCAGGCAGAGATGCAATTGCAAGTTCCAGCCCAACCTGGGTAACCTAATCACTTGGCAAGACCCTGTCTCAAATTTTAAAAATTTAACAAGGACCAGCAATACAGCTTAGTGGTAAGGCTCTGATTTAATCCAGAGCAACACATGCACATGTGCACACACACACTGGCACACACACACACACACACACACACACACACACACACACATACCAGTCACCATTCTTTTGTAAAATGGCCAGTTTGATCTTTTTCCATCAGAGTGTTGCTCCTCTATCTGCTCAAGCTGGAGTCCTTTCCTTATTCTCTCTTAGCTTCCTTTGAGATGGAACCTGCTTAATGTTTGGCCACTCCTCAAATTAAAGTCCCTTACCCTTTCTGTATGTTTCAAATGAAGCTTTTCTTCCTGCAAACTTGTGCTTTCTTGTTACTTTCCGTTACCAATAAAGCAAGAACCCACCCTAGCCATCGACACTTTTTGAACAGGGTAACTGAATTTGAGAGCTGAATTTCTTGCTGCTGAGTTCGGGAGCCTCACTAGCTGAGGGGTAATGGGGAAGTCCACTCAACATACAAATACACTTCACTCATCACTTCAAATTAGCTAATCCTTGAACAGTTTCAGAGATTCCTATTGAACATTAATCTTAAAGTGAATGGGATTAGCAGTTCTGTCAAAGTCATACCTTTTCCATTACTTACTGCAACTCATGAATGAGGAAGCTTTTGAGATGGTGATCAGACTCCCAAGCATGCTTCCCCTCACCCGTCTTCCCTCACACAAGCCATATTCTACTATTTTTAACATATTCTGTTTTGTCTAAATAAATGTAAATTTCTAAAATGGAAAATACAGTAGAAGGGAATGTTTTAAATTATTTTTATAATCTATCTCATGTTTATCTTGAATTTCAAATGAATTGCTCTGGAATGCATCAAAAATAATAAATTGTTTTATTTAGTAACAGCAGAAGTCAGAGAAAAAATATCTTATAACTTGTGTTGATTCATTCATGTCGTTTCTGTCCATTTAGCAGCTGTTCATAGTGATACTGTGAATCTTTACAATATTTTGGTTAAGAAAACTATTGTCTTAAAAATACATCTTGAGATAATACAATTTTAGGTATTAATGAGTATGAAATAATGCAGTTGGCAGCTGAATATGCTGTCTAAAGAAAGGAGTGCCTTTTTTCTTTATTTTTCATGAAAACTTTATGTTCAAGATATTTTACTTAATTTTCAATAAATTAACACCTAGAAATTATATGATCACCTAGAAATTCCTGTTAACAGCTACCAAGAGAATTCTATGTCTCTGTGTCTATATATCTATCTATATATAGGTATAGATATAGATACAGATAGAGATGATAGAGATAGATAGATATAGATATAGATGATATAGATATAGATATAGATATTTTTTTGTTACCAGAGATTGAACTCAGGATCTTGCACTTGCCAGGAAGGCGCTGTGGTGCTGAGCTGTATCCCCAGCCATTCTGTGTCTATATTTTGATTAAAAAAAAAATTGCAGTGAACATTTTTATCATGCAACCTGGGATTAGGACTTGCACTGGTAAATTATTCAGCTTGATAAACTAATTCTGTGGACCCGCTTCTCAAATAAAAATAAACAAATCAACAATGTATAGCTTTGCAGCCGTACCTGATGACAGCATTGCTATCAATTTAATTCGAATGTGATAGAAATTGTGAAACTCAAGTCTTTAAGCTAATGGAGTATCTGACAAAATGATGGACCTCACTGACATCGGCAGTGTTCAGTAACCATCAGCTTTTAGAACATTGTCTATTAATTATGGCATACTAGAGGTTCAATTAATGAATTTTCTTTACCAGGAGCATGAATTTGTATTTAGAACATGAACTTGGAATTCATTTACCTGATATATAAAAGTTAAATGCTTTATTAATTACTGTGCAGGGTAAGCCATGGTTTTAAAAAAAACCTACAAGGTAGTGGTTTAAACACTGTTATATGAGTCCAGAAGTAGGTGACCTAAATCTAGCACATCAACTCCACATCAATAAGCAGCTTCCATTTTGGGGTCTGAGACTCTACAATCCCTTTTTCCTAGACAAATGGGAACAAATGGTAACAAGGAGCCCAGTTCCAGCCCTTTAATTGGCAAGGCCTAGAAATGTCACGGTTCACTTGTGCTCACGTCCAGGCGAGCACTGTGCCGCCCTAACTGCAGCTGCTGCCAGGGTGGGTGGACTTAACAGTCTTTGTGCTTGTGCAGGGTAACTGATTCTTCTCCGCACCTGCTACAAAAGTGCCGAGCTGCACGCCAGTATCGCCCTTTTTTTGATACTTCATCCTAAAGACAAACCATGATCACTTCCACAATGTCACAGAACTTTGCATTCTAACTTTTTAAAGCATTTATATATATTGATACAACTGTGCAAAGCTTTTTTGCAGGTATCCCTCTATGCTCATAGATAGGCATCCCTCTATCTGATGTGACACTGTGCTATGTAAAAAGGCTTATTGGCTCCATCACAGATGGACCACACTGAGCCAGAGGAAATGCATGTAATAAAATAAATATATTGTATTTTATAAATTTTAGATATTAATGCAAGTGCAGGATTTTGCACATACTTTTTGTAACTGTCAAATATAATCAGTCTCTAGAATTCTTCTATGTCTTTTCCACACATTCATGACATTGTGTAAATATCCAATGGAATTACATTTCTTAGCTTAAAACTCTTTGTCCTACTCAGCATTATGCAGTAGAACTTCCTGTGATGATGGGACTGTTCTAGAACTGCACTGTCTGATACTATTGTATCTGTGACCTATGTGAAGGTTTGGAGCACTTGAATGTGACTGACGGGACTGAGGAACCAAATTTCAAACTTTGTCTTGTTTTGGTGAATTTAAATTTGGATAGCCACGTGTAGCTAGGGATTGCATACAGAGCTCTAGTCACTTCCTGCTGCAGCTCCTGACTTATTCCACCTGCATCATATTATTCCTGAATTGCTCTCAAGTGAATTTAAATACTCAGTATTTATGTGCATATGTCTTATTCTTTAGGTGAGTAAACATTTTGTATTTCCAGTGTGAATTTAAACAGTTGAGTAATCATAACTTTATGGAATATTTCTTAAACATATCATATATTAGGCATCATTCTGAGCCCTTAATATACAATAAATTATTTCATTATCCCAAGAAACTTGTACTACAACCAAAGGAACTTAGATTATAATTATTACCATTTTATAAATATATAAACTGACACAACAACAATTTAATTTTTCCCTAAGATCAAATAGGCAGCAAGTGACTAAGCTAAGAGGTAAACCCCGGGCAAACCGGCCTCAACTAATGCCAGGGTCTCACTCCATTCTTTATTAGTTCATCATCCTGGAAAGTGAGTTTCTAGCAGTGGTGCTTTATTTGCCATGCATCACAGATGGGACCTTCCAAGAATATTACTGCTTTATGCATAAAATGGGAAATATATTGCCTCTGGCAAGAGGGAAGGAAAAAGAGCAGCTTCTCTTCCCATTTTGTCCTCTCACACAAAGAGCGCACATTTGTAAAAAGGTGATTCACATCATCGCCTAACTCTTGCCTTCACTAATTTGGCAGTAGAACTTAATTTAATCAGAATGATACTTAATAAACTAGTAGATGTGTGTCGATAAACAGGTGCTATATTTGCTCTGGTTACTACAAAGGTTTACTCACTTTTTTCCTCAGTGCACTAACCAAAAGAATTTTAAAGTAATGAGATTTAACACATAAGCATAAAACTAGTTAGAAGTGTACTGTTCATAATTAATCTTACCTATTGTTATAGAATGGGTACCTTTAGGTATCAAGAAATCTGTCATTTTAAGCATGCCCCCAGCCCTTTTCCCAACTGCTCATAAAATTTCTCATTCTCTAAGAAATAAATGTCTCTGTCAAGTCAAAAGTAATACAAGCACATGATGGGAAAATGGAACTTTTCAGTTTTATAAGGGATATTGCAGCATTGCAAAATTGATTTTATTCCTTCTTATTTAGGTTCTCATGGTCATTTTAGGATTTGCCTTCTGGATATAATGGGAAAGTTATGATATTTTTTAGAGAGGTGGGCACCAGAGGCCTTTGGGGATTAGGAGAATATTTTTCATATGAAATTCTTTGTCCTAAAATGCTAATGTTGGTGTTCTTGTCTTTATGTCTATGCACTCTTTAGCTATGAGGATAACAGACCCTTCATCAAGTAAGAATGACCTGAATGGCTGATAAATTCCAGTTATCAGTGTGGTCCCATGAACCAGCTGTCAGACCAGTACTGAAGAATCATTAGAGCTTCTGTCATTCACATTGAGGCAGAAGAGCAAACTGTACAGGAAAATACTGTGGCATACAGCTTAGAAGCAGAATAAACACACCACAGGTGTATTGCTCCCCCCAAAATTCTGCTTCACCTCTGCTAATTGGACATCACTCGATTCAGTGCCACAGTAATAGCAGTTTCCTGTGGTACAGACTTGTTTCACATCGAATACTTTTCTCCTCTTTACACTGTGATGTGTTCCTCTGTGCTGCGTATGTCCAAATTTCTGTTGTTTGTTTGGGCATCATGCATCTAAAATGACATAGTGATTTAATGGTGTATCTTTAAATTGGTCTAATGGACATGACACTACCCAAGTGTAACTGATGTTCATAAATCGCTGCATTAAAGATTTAAAAAGGCACAAGAAAAAAACTCCTCCACAAATTAAATTTTACACATGCAAAATCCTCCCTTTAAAATTTGGCATCTGTCATTTGATTCACAAATTAATTGTTTATGAATATATTTAAGTTTCTGAACCACAGCTGCAAGTCTGTATTTGTCAAATACACGTTAATGTTGGAACTTCTCTATATATTTTAGAATTACACATCCCGCAAGCATAAACTAAGAGTGGCTAACTATGGGTGACCTTGCTGTAGACTTTCAGTTTGTTCTTCTGGTGAAGAGTCCTTTGTGTCCATTCTCCCCCGTGCCATTTCACTTGCTTCTTTGTGCTTTTGCTGCTTATTTTCCTTGGAAATGGGAGCTCATTGCAGTTTTACATCATGTAGCCTTTGGGCTCATCATGTGTTTTCTAGTGGACAATGGTTGACTGTAGTATTTCATCCTGTCATTTTAATTCTCCATTTAAATAGCAATTTTGCCTTCATTTAATTGATGATTATTTCCATTTTTCCTTTTTTCACCTTCTATAAGAAGCTAAGATCTTTTCCTTGAATATCCTCATATTTGAGAATTCAGCAACAGAGAAAAATATTAACATGTAAGATGTTTCCTAACTCATACTAGCAAACCTACCACATGCAATAGCAAAATCCTTTAATGGTTCTTTATTTTAAAATATTGATGTTAAATATTAAACATGTCAAATTTGGCTTGCATTTAAATCTGAAATACAGTTGGTGATTGTTTTGGGAGAAAATATTTAGTAAATGTCTACCATCCCTTTTAATAGGACTTTGGGACCATAGCTATCTTACCTTTTAAATTTTTCTGAAAAATACATTGAACTCATCTTCAGATTATGGTAAACATATGCAATTCTCTCGCTCTCAGCTTGCAAAGATTTAATCCCCATAAATCTTATTTTTTTAGAGAACATAAATGGAGGACAAGAGCTGACTGAAAAGAAATATTAGCACCCTGTTCAAGGGAGTGGAAGGGGTGGGTTTACGTGTGGGTAGAAATTTTGATTGTTTGGCCCTGTTCTCCCATATACCTAGAGAAAAGCTAAGGGAGGGTTCAGTTTCAGTTACTGGAGTCCCATGTGTAAGAAGAATTTATTTTATGCTAATAGCAAGTAAGGAGCATAACCGCAAATGTATGTAACTTTTCTCACCCACTTATTACTATTTTAAATGGCAGCTTGGAGAATGGAAGGAAACTGAGAATTGTCTTCCATGCTGTCCTACGCCATTCACACCACTCCATTTCGCCATTCTAGCTTCATCCTCTCCCTGGAGGTTGCACTTCAAAGAGATGGAGATGCCTGAGCCTTTAAGCCTCTTTTCAGTAAAGCTGCCAAATGTCTGATTTCCAAAGTTGAGCCCAACATAAACCTAGAGGACAGTAATCCAAACCTGAAACAAAAGTAAAACTTGAGTGATTTGGGTAGAGGGAACTGTGTTTTCCCACGCACTGCATCACACACTTATTCTACATAGATACAGAATCAGACCAACAAGACTTTTTAAATCCATACGTGTTCTTCACCTACTAGTTTCTTCCACTATAAGTTATGTTTTTGTCAGTCACCATGATAGTTCTTATGAAAAAAGAGGAAATTTGGAAAAATGGGATAAAAATACGTGCGGTGAGGCCCAGAGGAAATGCAGTCAAATAAATGTTGTAACAATGAGTCCAGTGGAGACTAACTGTGGAAGTTTTCCTTCTTGCCATTCATCCTAATTACATCTTCATACCATTTGCATATATGCTGCAAATACATGAATAATTTATGGCACAACTCTGCTTTTGCTTAAATTAATTTCTGTGTTCATAACATTTTCATTCATGTATATTTCCTCAAGCTTGATTACCTGTAGTCCCCATTCAACTCTTAAAGTATTTACACCACCTGTCTTACATTTTCTGTCAAAAAATAGCTTACCGTAACATCAGTGTCAGTATTGTTGATATGAGATGGTTGTGTTTACTAAAGACCAATTATTTGACAACCCTAAATTTTCTTTTCTCTTTGCAGGTCATGGGTTATAGGTGCAATAGCTCTTCTCTGCTTGTTAGGATTGACCTGGGCCTTTGGACTCATGTATATTAATGAAAGCACAGTCATCATGGCGTATCTCTTCACCATTTTCAATTCTCTGCAGGGGATGTTTATATTCATTTTCCATTGTGTCCTACAGAAGAAGGTGAGCTAGAATTCTATTTTCAAGAATAAATGGAGTGTATGTCATGATAGCATAGCAATTGTAATGTAGTCTGATATATCATCCTTGATACACTTGGCCGTAAGAAATAAGCATTATTCTTTATTTTTATAATACTAGAGACAAAATAGACACAAAATGTGAAAGTATAGTAGTTGTTATGTTCAATACAAAGAAGTAGTTTATGATTTGTTTAATGCACAAATATTATTTTCTTACTGTCTTGGCTTTACAATCTTTTGTACATCCATGGACAGACAAATTAAATTCGTGCATTAGGAGCAGCTCTTTTCTAAAGTGGATGCATATCATAGTATATCTCTGCTTCTTTAAAGACTAATTCATACCACAGAGTCAAAAGTGTAAACATTCTGTGGTACAGCAGCCTACATTTATAATTTTGAATGGATATTGGAGTTCTTAGTAATAGACTACCATTTAAAGGCATCTTTTATAATAATTAGGAGTTGAGTGATTAAAATGAATTTTTAAGTTTTACATCAGTTTGCTTTATAATTTATTACACTTACAAGGACATAAAACTGTATTTCTAAGGCAAATTTTAACTAAAATTATCATTGAATTTTTAAATTACAAGATTAATTTTTCATCCTTATACTTCTTTTAAATTTTGGTCTCTATTTTTCTAGTCATGTAGATCTTTGGCCAGATTGCAATTGACTCTCAGTCCCTCCACTGAAAACCACATGTCATTTGGAGCCTTTTAGGGGACATCCTCATGTCCCAGTTTCCTCATGTGTGACATGGAGGTGATAAACATAATTATGAAACATTAGAAGATATGGCTCTGAAAACAAAAGTGCAAATGTAAAGATTTCTCAGAAAAAGATAAGAACCACAGTTTTGCCTTAGAGAACAAACAAAAAGTAGGAATGTTTATCGCTAGGATATTTTATTTGAGACCGCCAAATCAAAGTGGGACCCAAATAGAAGTTGAGAAGAGTGTCTCCTACCCAGATGAGCAAGAATAAAAGAAAACTTCATTGTGTTACTGTCTTGGTTACTTTTCTCTCATTGCTGGGACAAAATACCTGATGCCCAAAATTAAGGAAGGAAAAGTTTATTTCGCTTACAGTTTGTGGAGGTTTTAGTCCGTACTCAGCAGATTACAAGGCAGAGTGGCATATGGCAGAGGGCTACAGCTCATGGAGGCAGAACACAGCTAAGCAACAAGCACACAGCAGGGCAGAATGGCCTCAAGCACTCTTTTCCTCTCCCTTACATATGCAAACTATCCACCCCAGGGCGGGTGTAGCTCTCACACCCATAATCAGTCAAACTCTAAAAGCCTGCCCCATGACCGCATGAGGCTTTGGGGGGGACACACAGACACAAACCATAACAGTTACGTATCTACAATGTGTTAAGTATCTAAAATGTGTTGTCATGTTCAAAAATACAGGAAAGAGAAGTAACGATGAATCAAGCCAATAATTGTAGATTACAGAAAAGAAAAAAGACTATATTAGAATAGATATACTTTAAATCTGATCACTTATAATTTACCCTATACAACAGGTCATATTAGAATATATAAATATTCCCAAATAATGTATATATATTCAAAATTGCCATAGCTCAACTCAATATATGTTATATTTTAATAATTTCCCAGTGATGAGGGAACCTTTGGTGGGATACAGACTGCTGAAGGCTCAACCAATCTCAAAGCAGTAAACCTTGGTTTGCAAGTGTAACTTGTTCGGGAAACATGCTTGTAATCCAAAACCCTTGTGTATCAAAGCTAATTTCCCCTAAAGAAATAATGGACATGCAGATGATTCATTCGGCAACTCAAAAATATTCATATAAAATGATTACAATACTGAATAGAATTTCAAATAATAAACACAATACAAAATATAGAGAATAAACAAATCAACTTGAAGTCCTTTGTGGCTGTTGTGAAGGCGACAAAGAGGAGTTGTTGTGCAGGACAACTTTCATGGTCACTAACGGAGCCACTGCTACCTCCCGGCTCAGTGCAGTCTTTCTCTTTTTGTGCAACTTTTACAAGGAATCGATCCAGTGACACCTTTTCCCTCCTTTTGAGGATTTTACAAAAATGTGACATTGCATTATCGTTGAGCAGATTCATTTCTCACACTGCTACAGCTATATTTGGGTGGTGGTTTTTTACAAAATTTCCACTGTTTCCCACATTTTACACATCCCCCTAATCATATTAGAAGTGAAGGATTCCTCCACTTTTTCTCCTCCTCCTCTGCAGATAAGATCTCTTCCATAAGCTCTCACTGCTGGGAGATGATCACCCATAATCCTTCAGCAAGGGATGGGGTGACCATTGGCTCAGTGTCACCACGTGACTTTTGGCATCATGTACTACTCATATTACAAGACACTGCTCGTTTATCAGGTTAAAATTTATTAGGATTGTGTGCTCCTCTTACAGAACACTGGCAGAACAAGTTACTCACAATCCAAGGTTTTACTGTATGATTTCTTGGTCACCCTGGGTGTTGGCATACAGCAAGCTCCCTGAGAGGAGAAAGATCCTGTGGAAGTAATCTGAAAGTGACTCGCACTCCTTCTACTCACATTCTGAGAGATAGGACAGATGGTACCAGTTAAAGTGCAAGTGAAACTAAAAGACATAATTTAACTTTTCTACCACCAAAGAGGAGAACTGGGATTGCTCAACAGCTAGCAATCAGCCATACCAGATAAGCTTAAGTAATAGGAGGCATCTAACTGATGAATAAAAATAGAGATGGAAAGAAAGAGTTGTCAGAGGAGAGTGAGAGTCAAGACAATACCCTGAATTAAAAACAGGGAGAAGCATCAGAAATTGTGGTTAGCCCTGTGAAAGACTTCTGAGAAATCCTACTAAATACTTGGGAAGGATACCTAGATTTGGATAGAAGAAATCCATAATTGATCCTCAGGAGAAATACAAGCAGAAATATGAGAGTGGAATCAGAAGGTAAAGGTGAAAAGTGACATTTATCCATGAAAATAAGGGCGTAGTAGGCCACGACAGTGAGTCAGCCGATATGAAAGCACAGCGTATTGGACTTCACTCTCATCCTTATTTTATGCTATACGTGAGCTGGAACTTGGAGCTAATCTAAGCTTTCTATTTTAAAGTAAAAATAGCAATTGTTAATGAAGCAGAAAAGATATGTTTGCACTTAACATGTAAATTACTTTGGCTGTGCTTTTTATTAGTTAAAACCTATTATAGTTTTTCTAATTATTGCATTTATTTTTCTTATTTTATATAAAGGCATCTTTGGGTTATCTAAGAATTGCATTTGATATTCACATAGAAATTTTACCCCTCAAATAAGACCCAACACAAGGACTTTGTAGTATAGTTAACATATTTAATATAAGTCAAGTAAATACACACACACACACACAATTTATTACATTTAAAATTTAAGATAAGTGCATGTGCAATATCCGATACTGCCTTTTACCTCACAGACCTGAAATACTGACCATCTTAGTCCATTTTCTGTTGGCATAACTGAATAACATAAAGTAATTTATAAACAATAAAAATGTATTCAGCTAAGTCTTCTGGAGGCTTTTACGTCCAATGTGGAAGTGCTGGCCTAGGCTAAAGGCCTCTTCGTTGCTTTATAACATGACAGAGTATATCACACAGTGAGAGCATAAGCAGCCATCAGGTCGCTCTTCCTAATTCAAACCCACTACAACTGGAGCCCCAGCCTCAGGCCTCATGTATTCCTCATTATCTCCGAAAAGGCCCCACCTGCCGCAGCTTCAATGATAAATTTGGATATTAAGTTTCAGACACATTAACTTTGGGGACACCCATTCAAACCACAGTACGGACTTTCAAGACCTTCATGAAAAAGTTTGCTACCAATTTGATTTAGAAGCTTACTTTTGTGTAAGTTATTTATGACAAGTAAAAAGCACATTGTTCTTCTATCCACTCCTTGTTTTGAAATTTAGGACGCATTTTATTTGATATTAAGAACATGGCCCAGCATCAGGAAATATAAAATATAAGTTGTAGTTGTTTGCTTTTTTTTTTCCCAACCAAAATACATCAAACGCTTGTCTTTGCAGCTACAGAAATAGTCTCAGACTTTTTAAAAAGCCATCTGACTGAATTTTATTAATGTGCTTTTTGCTAATGCATTGCTCAAATATTGTGATTCAAGACATAGGAAATATTCCAGAACTGGTTTCCCTGGGTTACTTGTTGATTGAACTCATTAACAAAAATCAAATGTTTTGAGTTCTCAGTATTTTTCTGAATATGGATTACATGGTTTGTCAAGAGTAATTTCACTAGTTACATTAAAAGTAGTCTCTGTTTTTGGTATGCACTCAGTTATTTGATTTACTCTCAGAACTTCTGAGATTTTCTTATTCCTGATCTCAAAACATGGGAGATATGTTCAATTAGAAAGGTATATTCTCTTTCCTGTCTTCTGTATTCTAGAACAACATCACACTGATAGCATTATCTGATTGGGGTAATTAAGATGGAGTATCATATGAAATAGATTAGTGTATGCAAATATTTGAACAATCAAAGAACATTTTATTGTAATCCAAAAAAATGTCGCATGGAAATGGTCCATGTTATTTTTCTTCCTTGTTTTTAAGACATATGCTTAGCATTTCAAATCACGGCACAGCAAAAAAAGTCAGGACAGTGATTCAGATTGTGATGTAGCTAATGTGGGACTTGGCAACACCACATTCCTTGATTTGCTGGTTGTTTATAAAATCAGTTCAGAACACTCAATCTTCGCTGGAAAATGCAAATAGCCTGTGGTGAATTCCTGTGACTTATCCAATATTACTTCTTTCGTGACAGGAAGAGGAGCGGTTCTACTTTTTCCAATCTCTCTTTCACTCTTCCTCTAAAACATTTGTTTAGATTTAAATTGTTTCCTTTAAAAAGCACTTATCTAAAAAGAAAAATGTTATATGCTGAGTCCAGTAGGCAAAACAAGGTGGGATGAGAGGCAAAGACTATGATCAAAGCAGGTTGTTGAGATGCTTCCCAATTTAAGTACAAACTGCTGACCTGTAATCAGCACTACTTACCAGTGTTTAGAGAAAATTTTAAGTCTTCCAAAAGTTTAACAAAGGCACATACCCTATTCTTTCTAGCTCCAGAGAGGGAGATACTGTAGTAGGTTAATATTAATAGAAGTAACATAGAATACCTGGGTTGGTTTTTTAGGTTAATGTCAGGAAAGTAACGCCTTAAAAGGAGCTTTCTCTTCCATAGTACCTCTGAGATTGAAATTTTTTTCACAAAAGGTGCAGTGTTTAACCCTTTCCTGCCTTTAGTTTGCTTTCATTGTTTAACCCTCTCGGTGCCCGTATCTGTGAGATAAAAGTAATGACCATTCCCCAGGGTTACTTTGAGGACCTTGCTTTGCAGTTTTACAGAAAACTATGTTTTAAAAATGAGAAGTTTCTCTGCTGCACTCTCTCAGAGAGTGCAGATGAGACACATGAGAACAGACCTATTTCTTTTTAAAATAAAACAGCCTAGCTTGCAAACACTGAATAAGAATGGTTATCTCTGTTGATAAGTGTATATATTGTTGAGAAAGGTAGTGTCGCAGAGGGTGGTGCAAGACAGCCCATGAGAGTGATGAATATATTATTATTATTTTACAAGCATTTCGGAGCAGAGCAAGGCCTGTAAGGACTCTGTTTGCTCACGCAATTCTCCCCACACAGAAAGCCTTTTTCTTTCTTGTCCCTCATCTCCTTTTTCCTAACTTCCCCCACCTAAATGACTACTACCAACTTGTCTTCGGAAGACCCTCTCAGAAGCCTTCACCACTGAGAAGCCTTGCTCTGAGCCCAGGCCTCAGTGGGCCTTTGGTCCACGGGCCCATTCCTGTCTGTCTTTGCCACTGTTCTTAGCACACGCTGAGCATCCAGGAGATCTGAGTCCTACAGGCAAATCTGATTACACTCTGTCTTTGATTGTGCTGTATCTTTGATGGAGTGAACTACACAGTACCAAAATATAATGTTTCCATTTTAAGTCTTCATTTTGATGTACCATTCATATTCCATTTTTAAAATTTTGATTCTAAACAGCATTCCTTTAAAAAGCACATTTTTAAAACTTCATTTGAAATGAAATCACATTGCAATAGTTCATTGTCATGAGCTGTGGAAATTATGATCTGATGTGAAATCAAATATGTAAATATCCAAGGAAAATATAATGTCCTTTCATCATGTGAGTTTTTAAACATCTAGCCAACATGATAAGCTTCTCCCATTTTACTGTACTTTAGGGCAGTTAGTGTTTATTTTTATAAGCCTGTGCAATTAAATGTAGAGGGACAAAAATTTTAAACTTGATAGACGCTTCCCTTGATACAATTCTTTGCTAGAGAAAATCAGTTAAAAATGCTCCTTGCTTTTTATCTATAATTTTGTATTTGTACCTGCACTGAGAATTTAATTTAAAGTGTTTTAAAGAATCACAGTTGTTTCTCTGTCCTTATGGAGTAGGACTATTTTATGAAAATATCTTAATATATTTTGAATTTTTTATTCTAATTTTGCTAATTTAACCTCTTTTAAGAGAAAAAATCAAAGAAATATAGATTTAAAAGAAATGCTTAGCCCAACACATTCCCCTTTTCAGTTTTTAAATATTTTCCCGTCTCACTTCCTTTCACCTTCCTTTTTCCTTTTTCCCATCCTGCTCTCTTTTACTTCCTAATAAGATGTCTTCTTGAAGAGCAGTAGTGACAATATCTTTGCATGAATAGGTCATTTATCTCAAATTTATGAAAGTAAAAACAGTCTTGAGGCGTTTCCAGTGTATGCTCTTTGAACAAAAAGAGAATACCGCTATAATGTTATCAGAAGTGTGTTTTTATGTGTGTGTCTGTGTTTTAAAGTCTGTGTATATGTAAAATTCCAAGCTTGATACTCTAAATATAATTATGTTATATTGCAAAATATATGCTCCTCAGTCTTTTACCTGTAGGACAAAGAATTAATTATATTGTTGGACACTAAAATTCACCTACTTTTTATATTAGCTCCTAGCGGAAATGAGTAACCTGCTAACGGAAGTGAATCTTTCATTGGCCAGGTGCGGAAGGAGTATGGGAAATGCCTGCGTACGCACTGCTGTAGTGGAAAAAGTACAGAGAGTTCCATTGGCTCAGGGAAAACATCTGGTTCTCGAACTCCTGGACGCTACTCTACAGGCTCCCAGGTACAACACGTTTGTTCATTGCCTTGAAGTATCTCTTACCCATTGCCGGTTATACATTGCTGTTCTTTCTGATCATGGCTGTTTTCTATACTAAATTTTTACCACATCCAGAATGTGGTAGTCACTTTAGTGTGATTGGTATGGGAATGATTCTGACAGAAATTGAAAGAGCCAAAAAAGTGTAATAAAATTATGAAATTGAATGTCTGTTTTCATAATAATTAATGATCTCAGATGGTTTCTCTTGAATAACAGGTGAAGAAAGGAATTTGTTCCTTGTTTCAAAACTCAAAGAAAGCAGTATTTTAAAGAGATGTTTCTTGAGTTTATTAGTTCTTTCATCAGTATAATTATCTATCATTTACTGAAACTTTACATATGAAATAACATGTCCAATAAGAAACTGCTATAATTCATACTGTATTACGTTCTAATTTTTTTTTTTTATTGTTGGTTTTTTTTCTGGTACCGGGAATCAAACTCATGACCTTGCGCTTGCCAGGCAGGCGCTATGCCGCTGAGCTAAATCCCCAGGCCCTTACCATATTACGTTCTGACAACTTGAAAACAGCTCAGGATAGTGGAGGACACTACAGTACCATCTCCTTCCTCTAGTGCAAGTGCCACTGTCATCAGTGCAGCACTGGACATAGCTTTGTAATCCCTCCCCAGGGAAGTTTTACACTTGAAGGTAAACTGTCAGCCATTTTGCCCAGACCACATTGTTCTTACATGGACATTTCAGAAACCCTAGGGTGCTGAAGAAGCCAGTCAAATAAAAGACATAAGACAATGAATAAAGGTTCTGCAAAGGTCTGGGTTTGAATGTGCAGAGTGATCTTTTCCAGATTACATATTTCTGCAGGAAAAAGTCATGTTTCCAAAGTTGTCAACTTAAATTTTTCTGAGGAAAGCAAAATGAAGTTAATAAGTTATAAATCAATTTTCTTAATTCTTTTAACACAAATTATAAATCTATTTCTTTTATAAATTTGGTTATTGTATGTAAAATAAGAATAGTCTCATTTGTCCTTTGATGCATGTGCAATTAGTTTATAAGAATAACAGATTAAATTTCCTTAAACAATTCTATTCATATGCTCAGGAAATAAATTCCCTTGTATCCCTCAAAAATAATTCAGCAAATAAATGCACATGGTTATCTCAGCTGCAGCCACTGCATAGCTGGCCGGCAGTCATGCACACCTGACCAGTACTAGAGCAGCTCTTT